GGTCGAGTACAAAGCATGGCGTACATGATGGATCCAATTGCCGAAGCATATGGAATCCGGTCCATGCGTTCTCGCTCATCAGGTGACGTAGGACACTGACTCTTGCAGAGAACTGTGCCACTGCTCATCGGTAAGGTTCCTTTCTTGGAATCTTGCATCTTGAACCGTTTCAGGACCTTATCGATGTAAGTACTCTGACACAATCCTAGAAGACGCCTCGATCTATCTCTATAGATCTTGATGCTTAAAATATAGGCCGCTTCTCCTAGATCCTTCATAGAAAACTGCGTTCCTAGCCAAGACTTAACGTCTTGCAAGGTAGGAACGTCATTCCCTATAAGGAGAATGTCAACCACATACAGCACTAGAAATACAACTGTACTCCCACTAGCCTTCTTGTAAACACATGGCTCGTCTTCGTTTTGTGAGAAACCATACTTTTTTTATTGTCTCGTCAAAACGAAAGTTCCAGCTCCTCGAAGCCTGCTTTAGTCCATAAATGGACCTCTGAAGCTTGCACACCATCCTCGGGTTCCTTGGATCGACAAAATCTTCGGGTTGTGTCATGTACACATCCTCGGTCAAGTTCCCGTTAAGGAACGCGGTCTTGACATCCATTTGCCATATCTCATAGTCGTAATATGCGGCTATGGCAAGTAGGATCCTGATGGACTTCAGCATAACTACAAGCGAAAACGTCTCATCATAGTCAATACCATGAATTTGACGGAATCCTTTCGCCACAAGTCGTGCCTTATACGTGTGCACGTTGCCATCCATGTCGGTCTTCTTCTTGAAGATCCATTTGCATCCGATGGGTTTTATCCCTTCAGATGCATTAACCAGAGTCCATACTTGGTTGTCTGACATGGATTGCATTTCGGACTTCATAGCCTCGCGCCATTTCTCGGAATCCGGACTCGCCATAGCCTCTGGGTATGTGGTAGGTTCATCATGTTCTAATAACATGAGCTCTTCATTCCCAGTCACGAGAAATCCGTATCTCACAGGCTCTTGGCGAATCCTACCTGATCTTCGAGGTTCACTCGTCGAAGGTTGAGTCACAACCGGCAATGAAACAGGTTGAACATCTTCAACTTGTTCACTCGGCTCAGCGTCTACTTATTGCTCTTCCTAAAATTCGACATTAAGACCCTAACTCTAAAATTCACACACATCTATAATAGGTTAGAGAGTATTTACATCTTTTCCAAAAGAAGAAGTCATTCTCTTCGATATCCTCGACTCTTCTCTTTTTGTCGCACTGGAGGAAGACGTTTCTTTATGACCAGAGGAAAAACTTTCCTTCTGACTTGAAGTCACTGCCGATGAATCTTCCTCATTCGATGACGGATTTCTCTCCATTTTCTAGGTCTCTTTCTAATGTCATTGATTTTGGTTTTGTTTTCTATTTCTCTCGTTTCTCTCTTTCAAAATCTGCATAGATAGAATGTGAAATGAAATGAGTCCTAATTTTTTTTTTTATCTCCGTAGCATAATTGGGAAAAAGGAGGAAAAGTGTATCTCTTGTATATGTTATTTTTACACACATTTACATTCATTAAGGGTAAATAAGACTTTTTCAACTTTAAAAGGGTAACGTAGACTTTTGATAATTTGTTCTATTTTGGTTGTGTATCGTAGAAATATATGTGACATAAAATACGTATTTCTGAAGTTTACCCAGTGGTTCAAGATCGTGGACGAATATTTGTTTTTCCATGTTATCCAAAATCATAGAATCGATTATATCTTTGGTTCAACATTTATATTCCGAATTAAAAAGTATGTATCCTAATTTTCATAAAATATTAATATTGTTTAAGTAATAATTATGTAAATAAAATTAAATTAAAATATATTTTGATATTTTTGAGTAATACCGTTGAAAATTCGGTTTGAACTCTAATCAGTGATTTTTTTTTTCTGTTGCCCGAATCTAAATTCGAATTGTTTGGATACTCAATATTGAGACGGATTGATATGGTTCGGGTATTTTTTTTCTTGCTCTATCGGCAGTAAACTTCCACCGTAAAATTGGTCTGATGGGCAATATCGACATTAAGTTGGCGTTATTATATCAAAATTACCCTTACTTTGCTATTTTTATTTCAACACATACCTTTTTTCTAGTTGTGACCATGTGACCCAAAATATAGTGTGGTCACATTTTGATTTTATTGATTATAATGTTAAATTTATAGTGATCACACTAATTCATTATGTTCATACCTTGTATATCTTACTAATCATTTGATTAAAATATCATAGATTTAACGTTATGAGGAATGAGATCAATATGTGACCACACTATATTTCGGTTCCCATGGTCACATATGAAGAATGATATGTATTGAAGTAAAAATAGCAAAGTAAATATATTTTTGATAATGCCCCTGTTAAATTATGAGAATATCCATTGGTGATGATCCCGTTATTCTTTTGGAGCAATTGGTAAACTATGACAAATATGTTACATCATTAGAAATATATACTTTTTTTTTCTTCCTTTGCAAACTATACCTTTTTATATTTTTTTTGACAAAAATACCCTTATTTTATTATATAATTTCAATATTATCATTTAGTGCCGCGAAAAATGTGTAACATAAAAAGCTGATTTTTTTGGAAACTGTGTTATTCGAAAAAACTGGTTTTTCATCCGAAACAACTATTTTTCGTCCGGGAGAGTATGTTTTTTGTCCGGAAGAGTCTGTTTTTAGTCTGGGAGAACTATTTTTTGTCCGGAAGAGCTGTTTTCGTCCGAGAGAGTCTGTTTTTTTGTCCGGGATAGCTGTTTTTCGTCCGAGAGAGATGTTTTCGTCCGGAAGAGTCTGTTTTTGGTCTGGGAGAACTGTTTTTTTGTCCGGGAGAGTTGTTTTTCGTACGAGAGAGTTTGTTTTTTGTCTGGAAGAATTGTTTTTTGTACGGATGAAAAACAATTTTTTCGGATAAAAAATAGTTCTCCCGGATAAAACAGGGCCTCCCGGATGAAAAACATTTGTCCCAGATGAGAAACAGTTCTCCTGGATAACACAGTTTCCAAAAAAATCTGCTTTTTATGTTGTACATTTTTTGAAGCACGAAATGATAATATTGAAATTAGATAATAAAAATATTTTTGTCAAAAATTTATATAAAGATAGTTTGTAAAGTAAGAAAAAAAAAGAATAGTTTTCATGATATATTTGGCATACTAACGCAAATTTTTTCTATTCTTTTTTGGAACTTATATATATATATAATGAGGAATTGGTTGAGCAATAAATTCTTAAGAGGTGAGAATTATTGTTATTATTAGTGTCACAAAGTCAAGAAAGTACCCTCCGAGCGGTTTTTATAGCACATTAATTGGCCCTCTCCCTCTCTCTCTTCCCCCCTTTGAGGCCATGTAAGTTACACCATGACTATACAGAAAAAAAAATTAATATACCATCAAATCGAGGCTATATGATATGAAGTCTTGTTGTTAATTGCAAAATCAAAATTGTCCAAGTTTTTACATGTTAGCAAAAAAAAATGCAATTTCCGTTTCTAATCAAAGAATATAATTATACCAAAACCGGCTGGAGAAATTATATCAAATCAATCCAAGGCAATCAACAAATTAAATGCTTTTTATTGATAATAAAATAATGATTGCAAAGTCTCTCGCTTTTAATTTCCACATATGAGGCTCGGTATTGGACACGCTTTCCAAAAATAAAATGACAGTACGCATAATGCATGATAAAACAGAAGAAATATGTCTTTACAAAAAAAAGAAATATATTTAGAATATTTACGGCCTCGGTTTAGGTTCGGATTAATTATTTTTAGTTTATATTTTAATTTAAAATAGATTATATTTATTGATTTTTATATTATATTTCAATTCGATTTAAATTTTTAAAATTTTATTCGAATGTAGTATTTATTTTAAAAAATATTTTCTAACAGTGCTATTTTATTTTTTAATTATGTTACACTATCAGTATTTAAATGTATTTAATTTGCATATAAGATGTATTATCTCGCTGGAATTTTCCGCCCCTATATACACCACTGTTGAGTGTGGACCAATGGCATCAATATCTGTAAAAAAATATTAAATATTAATTACATTATAAAAAGAGGGGATAATATTTGGGGGAAAATAAAGGGGCAGTTGGCAAACTGTACCAAAACAAAAACGAAATTTGCAAAATATCTCACAAAAAAACAACTTTTGCATAATATACTTTTTTTTTCTAAATACCCAAACTACCCTTTAGAGTATTTTTCTACGATTGTGTGATAATCTATCTTTTAAAAATCGGTAAGTTTTGCAATTTTATCTTCTTTTTTCTCCAATATTTTCCCTATTTCTTATATAGTTTATCTAATCTATTTAAATACTCTTCTCGTTGATTTTTTTTATAATATTCTGATCATTTTTTTGCATACACATAAGGTGTTTGATGAAATGTCTGTACCAGAAAACTGCGGTAGATGACCTGTGATATGTGAAAAATGACATGCGATCTACGTTAAATGGTCTATGGTCTCTGACAGATGACCTATGATATGGCGCAAATGATCTGCGGTCTGCGGCAGGTCATTTGGCCTGCGGACATGCGGCTATCGCCCTGTAGACCTGCGGTTTCGCCTTGTGACTTACGGATAACGTCCTACGACCTGCGACCTCCTGCGACCTCATGCAACCTCCTGCGACCTCCTGCGACCTGCGACCACCTGCGACCTTCTGCGATTTGCGACCTCCTGCGACCTCCTGCGACCTACTACGACCTCCTGCGACCTGCGACCTTCTGCGACGTCCTGCGACCTTCTGCGACGTCCTGCGACCTGCGACCTCCTGCGACTGCGACCTTTTGATAATGCCCCTGTTAAATTATGAGAATATCCATTGGTGATGATCCCGTTATTCTTTTGGAGCAATTGGTAAACTATGACAAATATGTTACATCATTAGAAATATATACTTTTTTTTTCTTCCTTTGCAAACTATACGTCCTATGACTATGACCTGCGACCTCCTGCGACGTTCTGCGACCTTCTACGACCTCCTGCGACGTCCTACGACTTGCGACCTCCTGCGACCTCCTGCGATGTCCTGCGACCTTCTGCGACCTCCTGCGACCTCCTACGACCTGCGACCTCCTGCGACCTCCTACGACGTCCTGCGACCTTCTACGACCTTCTGCGACCTCCTGCGACCTCCTGCAACCTCCTGCGACATTCTGCGACCTCCTGCGACCTGCGACCTCCTGCGACCTCCTGCGACGTCCTGCGACCTTCTGCGACCTCCTGCGACGTCCTACGACCTGCGACCTCCTGCGACCTCCTGCGACGTTCTGCGACCTTCTGCGACCTCCTGCGACCTCCTACGATCTGCGACCTCCTGCGACCTCCTACGACGTCCTGCGACCTTCTACGATCTTCTGCGACCTCCTGCGACGTCCTGCGACCTTCTGCGACATTCTGCGACCTCCTGCGACCTGCGACCTTCTGCGACCTACGACCTCCTACGACGTTCTGCGACCTCCTACGACGTCCTACGACCTGCGACCTCCTGCGACCTCCTGCGACCTCCTGCGACGTCCTGCCTCTTGCGACCTTCTGCGACCTCGTGCGCCCTGCGACCTCCTGCGACCTCTTGCGACGTCCTGCGACCTCCTGGGACCTCCTGTGACGTCCTGCGTCCTCCTGCGACCTCCTGCGACCTCTTGCGACCTGCGACCATATAACTATGACTCTCTACGACTCACTACGACCATATAACTACGACTACGACTCACTATGACTCACTATGACTCACTACGATCATATAACTACGATTTACTACGACTCACTATGACTATATAACTATGACTACGACTCATTACGACCATATAACTACGATTACGATCTCCTGTTTTCTCTAATATTTTTTCTCTATTCTCTATTTCTTACAATTTATCTCATCAATCAAATATTTTTCTGCATCATTTCTTTTTCTATAGTATTCATATGATCATTTTTTGTGACAATTTATCTTTTAGAAATCGGAACGCTTCGTTATTTGATCTTATTTTTTCTCCAATATTTTTTCTATCTTCTCTATTTTTTTATATAGTTTATCTAATCTATTCAAATACTCTTCTCGTTGATTTTTTTTGTGATATTCTAATCATATTTTTGCATGCACATAAGGTGTTTGATGAAATGTCTGTACCAGAAAACTACGGCAGATGACCTGCGATCTGTGAAAAATGACATGCACTCTGCGTTAAATAACCTATGGTCTCTGGCAGATGACTGTGATATGCCGCAAATGATCTGCGGTCTGCGGCAGGTCATTTGGCATGCGATCGCCCTGCGGACCTGCGGCTATCGCCCTGCGAACCTGCGGTATCGCCCTGCGGACCTGCGATATCGCCCTGCGGACCTGCGATATCGCCCTACGCACCTGCAGCTATCGCCTTGCGGAACTGCGGTATCGTCCTGCGGACCTGCGAACCTGCCGCAAATGATCTGCGGTCTCCAACATTTTCTATATCTTCTCTATTTCTTACAGTTTATCTAATGTATTCAAATACTATTCTGGTTGATTTCTTTTTTCTGTGATATTCTGATCATTTTTTGTATGCACATAAGGTGTTTGATGAAATGTCTATGAAAGAAAATTGTAGAAGATGACCTGCCGTCTGTGAAAAATGACCTATGCTCTGCGGTAAATGACCTAAAGCCTACGGCAGCTGACCTACGGTCTGCCAGATGACCTGTTGCATGCGGTAGTTCATCTTTGGTACTTACGGCACTTATCGCACTTGCTAACCTGCAAGTGTTTTTTCTATATTTATATAAGAAAACAAAATCTATATAAGTATTTTTTTCATGTATGTAGAGAAAAACGAAATTCATGCAAATATTTTTTTTTTATAAATATAGAAAAATTCTGCAGCTTATAATAATATTGAAGGATATGATGATCATTTTAACTTAAAAAGTATAGAATACAAAGATTAGAATAGTAAAAGTATATTTTGCAAAACACCCTTTTTTTTTCACACTAGCGCTAATTTCCTCGAAAATAAAGCCGAGATAATCTAATTCCACTAAGGAAACAATGTCTTAATCTGAAACCATGAAGGGATATCAGATCAGAGTGGGCCACCACATCAAATCGCACAAACCAAAAGGAAATTTCTCTTTTTTGCATGATTGATTATACAAATCCGCGATATTGTTAGGTTTTTGGTAAATTATTAAATAGTGAATTTACATAATTTACTTTGTTGAATCTCATGGCTCGCGAGCTTGAATATATATATATATATATATGTGTGTGTACTCAATTCATAACCTATTAAATTAAATGTAATAATATAGAGTTGACAGAAACTATTGATAAAGTATAAATAAAATATAAAAATCTAAATATACATGAAAATGGTAAATATTTGTGCACTAAAACAGTACACATCGTGGAAAAAATAACTTATTTTGAAAAAGTTATATTACAAGACTTGAGATTTTCTTTTAGGAAAATTCGGAATTTTTTCTTTAAAATTCATATCGGAAATTATTTATTTTGTTAATTTCCAATTAAGAACTTCATACTTTTTTAAGCCTTTATTTTTTTTAATTTAATAAGAGTTCTTATTTACTTGGGTATATTTTTATAAAGTAAAAATAATTTACTTTTTCACGGAACAAACAAAGTTTTTTTTTCACTAATACTGGCAAAATGGTCTTTATTAAAAATAAATAATGGTAAAAAATTAAAATTTGTACTTATCATTTATGAAAAAGAGAATCGTTGAAAAAATCTTACTTTTATCTTGTATCAATTTAAATCCTATATTTTTTTTATCTTAAAAAAATATGTACAACTAGTTTATTCCAAAAAAAATTATATATATATGTATGTCCATATATATATATAAATATTTTTTTATTTTTTTATTTTTATTTTTTTTTATTTTAATAATTTATTAGTTTTTTATTATGAATTTATTTATTATTTACCAATTTTTAATTTTATATGTGGTGGTATGACGTTGATTTAATTTTACCTAAAATTTTTGTTTGTCAGTGATATTTATTATTTGACGGTAGGGTTTTTTGACCAAATATTTAAAAGTATAGAATTTTTTTAGATAAACTAATTGTATAAATTTTTTTAAAATAGAAAAAAATATATGATTTAAATTGAAATAAAATAAAAGTATAGGATATTTTCGCCGGATTTTTTCATTGATTAAATGTATAAAAATCTACATTTGATTTTTCCTGTTTATTATTATCTAGTGTTTTAAGTAAAGAGGCTTGGTAGGTATAAAGTTCACAAGTGTTGTAGACACATTTTCAGGCATAAAAACTCAGATTTTGTCATTGTCATACATTTACATTAAGTATGCATGTAGCCAATTTGGATTTGGACCGTCAAATTTGTTGACAAATGGAAAATTACATAAACAACATATATACATATATGAATTACACAAAAAGTCGGTCTTAAATTCATTGTTGCTGACGTGGCACTACCGTTTACCCACAGTCAACCCCCCCGGAAACGTTAAACCCTTTCTTCTCTTTACTCTTTTAGACTCTTCGTTGTCTTTTCCGAGACTCTCTCCCTCTATCTCCAGCCACCATGTACTCAGCCGCTCCTCCGCCGAGCTCCGCCGCGATCTTGCCGGCTCCGTCACCGTCTCCGTCGCCGTCGATGCGAGTGTCAGAGCCCCTCTCGTCGCATTCCTCTGATCTTACCGTCGAATTCAGCCCGCCGTTGATCGCCATGGTTGTGGTCCTCGCCGCTGCGTTTCTCTTCGTGACGTACTCACGTATCATCTCTCGCCGCTGTATCTCCCCACTCTTCCGTCGTATCCGGCGGTGGCGCTGCCGTCGGCGTCGTCGTCGCCGACTACTCTACCTGTCGTCGTCCTCTGTCACGTCATCCTCCTCCGACCTCCGATCGTTTTCCCCTTTCCATTTCGACTCGTTCCATTACGCGTCGTACTCGCCTTACGGATTGGACGACTCAGTGATCAAGACGTTGCCACTGTTCCTCTACTCCACCGCGGCTTGCGCCGGTGGGAAATCCGCCGTCTCTGCTGCCGGCGATTGCCGCGAATGCGCCGTCTGTTTGTTGGAGTTCGAGGAAGGGGACTATGTACGGACGCTCCCATCGTGCACCCACGCTTTCCACTTGGATTGCATCGACGAGTGGCTTCGATCGCATCCTAACTGCCCACTCTGTCGCGCGGCGATCCTCGGATCCCCCGCCACCGATGTTGCGCCGCCGTCGCCGTTCGTTCCCCTTATGGCCTCCCGTATCCGGCCAAGCCTCGACGCGGAGGCGGATGCGATCATCATCCGCAGCATTGGCGGACTTCCTCGGCCGGGAACCATCGACGATCGGGAGATCACGCCAGCGTCGGTGGAGGAGCAGTCGCCGGCTATCGCTTTGAGGTTTCCTCAACTGAAGAGATCTTACTCCTTCGAATTCGAGAGGGAATCAATCTCGGAGATGATCACAACGGATCCGGCGGCGACATCGCCGCGGACATACCGGAGATCCGCCAGGAATTTCTGGAACAAGAGATCGTCGCCGTTCAGCAACCTGATATCCAAACCTAGAGTCGTCTCTTTCCGGTACCAGAGATTCACGAAATCACCGTTTTTCCGGCGACGATCGGGAGTGTTCTTCCCGTTATCAGAGAGGATACCGGCGACGGGAGGCTCGTTGTCGCGACGGATGAAGGCGATGACGAGTCCGATGATGATCTTCCGCACGGCGCCGGAGTTGCCGAGCCGACTGAGATGCGGCGATCCGGAGGCGCTGTTGTCGCCGGAGAGATTGAGGGGGGGATGAAGAAGGTCGGTCTAGTGACACGTGGACGGTGGAGATCGAGAAGTGGAAATGGACGGTGAGATGGAGACATGTGAAAATTTAATGGAGGAAAAAAAATATTGGGAGGGAAAGGAGAAAGGAGGAGGAGAAGAAGAAGAGCATTAATGGAGAGTGGGGTGAGGCATTTAATGAATTAAAATGGAAGACAGAGAAAGAGAGAAATTCAGAATCTCAGAGCTCACAAGGTCAGTCCATTTATTTCGATATTTATGCTATCCCTCCTAACTCATCTAATGCCATTAACGCCGTTCCTCGTTTTTCTCTCAAACTATATGTAACACATTTAGGTGTGTATATATATATATGTATATACGTTTCTTATTGAGCAAAGAAAAAGACAACTCAGTAACAAGTTGCATATTTTTTGTCATCTTAAATTACCTGCCTTTTCATTTATTTATTTTTAGGAGATGTCGAACTGTAAATTAAAAAAAACAACATTTGAGTGAGCAATAAAATTGAACTTTATAAAAAGTTGATTTGTTTCATTAAGGAGAGGTAAACAACCATAGTTTTATATAGAAACCCTCAAATTTTTAGATTTTTTTATTAATCTCTTGAACATATTTACATATTAGATATTTAGACCAAAATTTTTACCCTAATATAGACCAACATAATTAAATTTAAATTTAGATAATTGTTTCTCACTGATCCCTCGTATTTATTTATATATGATATTCTGCTTTCTTACAATTAATGATCTGTATCATTTTTAATAAAAGATTTCCGTGCAGGCTATGCAATTGATGCACATACGGGCGAACTTTTTTTTTTCGGTGAATTGTAAGAAGATTGTTGTAATCCATAGCAGTATGACTATCGAAGTTATTATAGAAACGAATTTAATGTTTGACCCTAAATTCGTTTATATAATAACTTATTTAACGTTTTGCCATATAATTTGTATTTGATTTAGATTTTTTTTATTATTCTATCTGAATAAACTTTTCACTTCATTTTCAGTCTGCAATCGAAAATTATATCCACATGTTGTCTTCTTCTGTGTGTTATCTACAACAATCTATCATTGCATGGAGTCATTGTATGAGAATTTTATCCTTAAGAATAATGAAAGTTCATGGGTTTGTTGCATTTTTTGTGGAATGTAATGTTTTAGCTAATGTGTTATAGATATTAAAAAAGGACTCTTCTTTGTTTTTTTGTTTTTGTTTTTTTTTTTTGTTATACAAAACAACTACGTTGGGGTTTACAGGTTGTCCCGCCGTCACCCACGAACGGAATGGTTGCAATTTTTGGTGGATAGTGGCGATTGGAAAACTGATTGGTTAAACCGCAGAGAAATGCAATCGCAACAAAACTTGAAAAATCAAAACGCCACTTTTTATCTACGTTTCGATAGCGATTCACGGCGTTTAAATCAAAAGATCAAAATACATTTTATTAAAAATCAAAGAAAAAAACTAATTCTCCTATCTTCTTCTCTCTCGCGTTGAACTCAGATCTGATGTATTCGAACATCTGTCGATTAGGGTTTTCTTCTCCGCTTCAGATCGCCGAAGCTCGTCAATGCTCGCCGATGTTTGTCAATACTCGTTGGAGCTCGTCGATACTCGTCGGAGCTCGTCATCTTCGTCGTCCATAAATGCCAAAGCTTGTCATCTTCGTCGTCTCTGTTTTGGTTTATCCCTTTCTCCTTTCGATTTGTTGGGTGGAAAATGGACGAAGACTCCATTGTTGGCCTTGTTCACCTCGCTTTCAACCTCAAAGAACTCGACATGTGATTAATCTCTCTCTCGATCGATGGAAGGTTTGGAATTTGTTTGTTGTCGGTAATCATGATTTCTAGATTGGGTTTTTGCTGCAATGGCGTTATCCTTACCAATTATGGCAAGTTTTCAACTTTGGTTGTTGAGATGCAAACATCAGTTCTTCGTAACTTTTGGGTTGAAGCACATTGATTTGGATTCAAAATAAAAACAATTGATTATTTAGGAGAAAATTATGAAATGATACATTATTTTTAAAATTATCAAATATTCTTTTTGGTTTGAAGTATAATAATCTTTACTATTTATTTTTAAATACGTTACTTTTCGTTGATAATTTTATTTAGTATTATGATTCAAATTTAATTTTTTTATATTAGTTTTTAGTAAAAATATATAATATCATCACATAATTATATAATTTTTAGATTTATTAGTAGTTATTTAACTTATTTTTAAAATTTGATGATAAATTATTTTTAATTAAAAATAAATTAAATGATAAAATTTATATTTGAATATTTTTTTATAAATTTATTAAATAGTTTTTTATTAAATGACAATATAAAACTTAATTATAATTAATTTTAAAAAAATTATTTTAAAATCATATTTTTTTTGTAATAAAAATCGTAACCACAACCGTATGCAACTATTCATTTTTAATCATACCTAACTCAATCCCCACTAACAATCATTTATCAACCAATCAGTATAAACTGTCTATAGTCACTAATAAAATATTCTGAAAATACTGTCGCCGTAACTGTAACGATACAACCACTCAACCCCTAAAAAAATGGTTGGGAAAAAAGAATATTTTTTTTAAGGATCCTAATGTTAAAAAAGGATTGGAAGGTATTTCGTAAATGTTTTTTTATTCAATAATCAGACAGATTCAAAAATGGGCTTCACGGAGGCCCAATGAAGCCCATCTATAAGGCCCATTTGTAAAAATTCATCGAAAACCAAGCGAGAAGTAAAAAGAAAAGGGTCTTTAGGGTTTTAGAATCACCTATTCGACGAGCAGCAGTATAACAAAGGAAGAAGACGACGAAGGCTGAGATACTGAGCGATAGTCGAGAAGAAGAAGAAGATAATAACAATGTTTCCGGGAATGTTCATGCGAAAACCAGACAAAGCAGTTGCTCTGAAGCAGCTGCGAACCCATGTCGCCTTGTTCGCCGGTTGGGTCGTCGTCGTCCGTGCTGCTCCGTACGTCCTGGCCTACCTCTCTGATTCCAAGGAAGAGCTCAAGATCGAGCTCTGAGGCTCGATTCTCTAATTTTCAGGTATTGAGATTGAATTCATTGTTCTGTCAATTGCTCAGCTTTGTCTTGTTTGATCGGAGAGGAGAGGGTCGATGTCTTGGGGGGGTTTTTTTTGGTGCATTTTGCAGTTGAGTGATTCATTGAGTCATATATCGGTGGAATTTCTAAAATATTTGCTGATTGATGTATCGTTTATTGAATTGCGATTTAGGTTTGCTCGATCAAGCACTGTTTCATTTAATGGGTAATTAGGAATCTCAATGGTTACCACATTGTAGATTTCTACTTGTTTCTAGATCGGGTCCTCTTTTTGGGTTGCCATCTTGTTCCATTTCAAAATTGGGTTCTGTCTTTTTAGTTCTTACTAGGGTTAAGGCTATTTGTAAAGGATTTTGAGGAATAAGTATCATAACCTTGTTTGGCTTTACATACTCACGTTTTGAAAGTTAGTTGGTGGATGCTTTGTTTAGCTTGAAGCTGCCGTATTCGTTCACGAAAGTTTGAAACCGTCCTCTGCTGCATTTCCGCGAGATCTCACGATACTATGGAGCAATACTTTCATGTTTCCCCCCGAAATGTCACGCCTTTATTTGTATTTTCTTGGTCTTCCAAGCATTGCTTTTCAGTGCTGGCAAGTAAAAATGGATGTGTTGATTAAGACGACTGGAAAATTCGGTTCTTTTTTTTGAAACACCTATAACCCAAGATCATGTTATGCTTTTCATTTCCCCATTTAATCATTCCACCAAAGGTTTTTCCCGTTTTGTTCATGTATTGATACGTTTTCTTTTGATATCCAGTTGTGAAATGAAGAAATAGATCCAGCGGTTTCCGAAGAACCGCATCCGTTTTGCAATGGTCTTAGGGCTTGAATAGTGGCACAGCGAGATGCCGAGATGTACTTCCTTTTGTTTCCGAACAGCGATTTGAACTGTGATTTTTATCAGCTGAAATTTGTATGATAGCTCTTTCTGATATATATATATATATCGTTTCTTCTCAAAGGGATTGTGTGAACAATCACAGAACAGAGAAGGTTATGAAGATGGATTTTCGAAGTTATGGGTATTGGGTAGGATTCAGAAGAATGCTGAACTTGTGGGGCTAATTCTAATTCTCCTAATTCTCTCCACACTGTCGGCTAAGTCTATCTAGAAGATTGTGATGATGAATCTGCAAAGTTGTGGCAAATTAGTAGCCAAATGATTTTCTTCTAATGCCATGTGATGCATTCCTAATTTATTTAAGATTTAGTTTCTTCCTCAGTTTAGTTTCCTGTCAATTCTAAGTTATAATAAACGTTACTCACAAAAGAATACGTATGAATAAATAAAATATAAGTATGTTTATTTTTTTTAAAGTAGATCTTTAATTGTAAAGTAAAAAAAAAAATCTTTCTAGAGATGTTCTATTTGCATACCTTTATAACAAGTGGCAAATACTTCGTGGAATTTTTTTTTTTGTGGGGGCATCATGAATTTTGTTTTTTTTTTTTGATAAAAGGCATCATGAATTTTTTTTGGGGTAAAATCATCAATTTTAAAAACAAATCATTCTCATAAATTATTATTGAATTTTTATTTTTAAAATCCTAATCAAAAGGGAGAGTTGCAAAGACTGTTTACCAAAAATCCATCGGTATTGTCTAATGAATACAGACCACAACTCTTCTGCATGAATTCTCCTCTCACACAGAGAATGTGCGAACCAGAAACACAACACAACACAGACACAAGAAATCAAGAAAAAAAGACTTTGTTAATCTTGATTTTGTTCATCTTAGTTTTTTTATTAACTTGCGACGCAAGGAAGGCGATGGCTGAAGTGCCCGGCTCCATTGGAACAAGTTCAAGCCTCTCGTTGAGGTTGGGACAAACGCTGTTGTCAGCAGGTTCGATCTTGTTCATGGGCATTGATCTACGCTTCTACCGCTACACCGCTTTCCGGTAAAACACAACATCATGTCAATTCTCCCATCTCTTGCGTGTCTCTGCGCATCCATTGACCGATCTAGAAACATTTATTATAAAATATTATATGGAATCGTTAATTGATATGAGTTAGTTACTAATCGAGAACCGAGATCATATACCTGATGTTTCACAAGTTACTAAATTCAGGGTTTCGTCTAAAATTCAGTGATACTTTGGAGGAATCTTTCCGTGATTTGATCTGAAATCGTCCCAATAGGAACTTGTTTGCTTCAACTCCTCGATCGTCTCGATATCTTTAGTTTGCGTCGTCGGCCTTCACAGAGAATCATCATACATGTCGATGAATATCATTCATTTTTTTTGCAACAAGTTCTTGTCTTGACGACATTAACATTTGCAGCTATTTGGTAATGATCATGGCTTTGGCAGTACCGTGGAGTTTGGCTTTAGCAGTTGTAGATGTTTACTATCTTCTTCAGAAGAATAAAGATCTCCGAAATCCACAGGATCATTCTCACGATTTCCGTAGCAGACTGGGTACGTTGAAATGCTCACATTCATATGATCTTTTCATCTCTTTGTTTTAAGGAAAGATGTCGTGAATCTTATGACGAATCCGGTATGATGATGCAATTAAAATCTCAGGTTTTATCGGTTCTTGAATTAGGGGCGGCGACATCCACAGCCGGCGTCGTTGATTTTATTCGATCAGAGAAAACGATTTTCGCCGGAAGAATCTGCAATAGATATCAGTTCTCAGCCACATTAGCATTCCTGACTCGGTTCGTGTCTCTATCTTCTTCCATTCTCAATCTCTTGTTGCTTAGCTTCTCTGTGATTTCGTAATATATATATATATATATATATATATATATATTATAATAAATTAAAAGATAAAACCAATAAAAATTTTAAAGTCTTTAGGGTGAAAATAAATTTCTAAACTTTTCTCTTAACAAATTTATTCTCAAATTTGCAAAATAGATCATTATAATTTTCAAATTTGTAAAATATATCATTATAATTTTCAAATTTATTAATTACTATCAGAAGAAATCTTGACGATTTTGATCTATAAATTGAATATTAAAAGAGACAAATAAAAAAAATCTCCAATTTTTTTTACTTTCACCAAAAAAACCTTCTACTTAAAATTCATCATAAAAAATCATCAACTATTAATTTTGAAAAAAAAGACTATTAACTATATAATTTTTTTTTAAAATCTTTCACTTTAAATTAATTATAAAAAATCATCAATTATTAATTTTTATGAAAAAATTAATCATCTATCTACAAAATATTTTGTTTTAAAATTTATTATAAAAATTTATAAAATTTAAAGAAAAAACATATATAAATTATATAATTCTAAAAATCACAATAAAAACATAATATTTATTTAAATTTATTATATCATAATATTTAAAACTTATATAACTATCAATCTTTATATAATAAATTTGTATACAAATGTTACATTTAAAATTCAGTATATTTTATTAGTTGTAAATATAAAATTTAAAATTTTATAATATGTTACTATTTGATAGGTTGTAAATTGAGTACATTTATTAATTATAGGTTTCTGTATTTAAAATAGAATGTGTTTTGAAAATTTTAAGTATTTGATGATTTTTTATTAAAATTATTTTATATATCTATAAAAAAATTAAAATGATAACTTGTAATCTCTATAATAATGATATATAATAGAATTTTAAATATAATTATTTATAACCAATAAAATATACTCAATTTATAATCTATTAATATTAATATACACTTTTTATATTTTAATAAATAAATTTTTTATTAAAATTAATAATTGATGATTTTTTATAACAAATTTAAAGTGAAAATTGTTTTTTAAAAATTTATATAGTTAATGGTCTTTTTTGTTCAAAATTAATAGTTGATGATTTCTTATGATGAATTTTAAGTAGAAGGTTTTTTATGATGAATTTTTATTAAAATGATCTTTTTTTGGGTTTGTCCCAAATTATAATGACACATTTATTCAAATTTGTAAATTATAATGACATATTTTATAAATTTATAAAATGAAGAATTTATGAATTTATATTATAATTAGAGAGATGATTACTAAAACATATTTCGATATTATTTGGTATGAAATAACCAAAACTATCAAAACATTTAGAGAGAGATGATTAAGACATGTGATTATATATTATAAAACTAAAACATAATTTGAAGAGATGATTAAGAGGAAGGAGGCTTCATCTCGGACTTGATAGCAGAAGCTAATTGGTCATAAGCTTCTCCCCATGCACACTTCATCTCTTCCGACCACATCTCTCCCGTTGCCTCCTTTATTGTCTCCAACAATGCAAACTTCACAACCTTCACCATATACCCACACAAAAAAAAAAAAATCGATAAATTGAAATTTAACTTTGATTCTGGATCGAAAAATATCTAAGATATTTAATAATCCGACCCTAGATTCGGACTTGATTCTCACGACGAGGTACAAATCTTCTTTCTCAAATCAAAACAATTTAGGATTTTCTATGTATTGAGATGTTATTAATGACTTATTCAATACGGTCTATTGAACTTTGTAAATTCGGTTTTCTTTCTGAACTATAATTTAGATAGAAATTGGAGGGAAAATGTTATTTTTTTCTTACCTCAAAATGTTCATCGACAACATGGTACTTGAAGTGGGTTGAACCTAAATCCTTCAGATTGGAATCTCTAACAGTCACTCCTCCCGATTTCCTTAGATTCACAGCTGCTTCGCATGTCTGATAATTAGGGATACAAAACCACGTAATCATTTTGGAATTGATTTCCATACAAAAAAAATGGTATAAATTTTATAGAATCGAAACTCTGAACTCAAACGGTATACCGGAAAATAACCAGAAAACCAAATCCAAACAAAAATCGAACCAAATAGAATCCAACATGTATATCGTTTTTCTAAAACCGAAAAATTCAAACCCGAAAATAACTATACTGAATCTAAACGGAAACCGGTGATCTAAACCACAATGGTTTTTACTCACAGTAACAAAAGGTAAAAAGGTAAAAAAAAAAAAAAAGACTAACCATGACAAAGACGGTCATTGCATGAGCTTTGAGTTTAGGGTTTTTGTCCAATGGAACATTAGAATCTTTCAGAAATGTGAACAGTTTTGCAGCTGATGGAGCTATCTCAAACACTCTGCATCCATTAAAAAAAATATCAATATAATATTGAAGCGAACCAAACTATTTGGATGATTTTTTTTGGTCGAATTGAATTTATCCAAACCGAAATAAATATGAAAAATACAAAAAAAAAACCATCTCAAAAACAAATATTAAATAAGCAATTTTTATTTAATCAAAACCGTAACCGGACCAAACGGTTTTCAGTTTCATTTTGCAGCAAGTTTCTCCAGAACCGTAAAACCGAACGCGAGTCTAATTTGAATAAACCAAACCGGAAATTGAATTGTCTACATAAATAAACAAATAAATAAATAAAACAAAGAAGGGTTTGAAAAAAGACCTTAGGAAGAGTTTAAGACCAAGAACGCCAGCATTCTTCTTCATCACATCCCAAGACTTCACAACCAGAGCTTCTTGTTCCTCTGTGAACACTCCTTTTGTCTTTAGCCCTTCATTTCTCTTCTCAATTCCTTCAGACTCTCCATCTCTTGTACATTTGCAAATCAGCCCCAAATTCCATGATCCTCCTCTTCTCACCCAAGAAAGATGAGCCACTGATTTCGACCCGGTTGGATTCCGGGTCAAAACGACCCGACCCAACTTGTTCAGTCCAGTAGCTGGGATCACATAAGTACACATGTACATACATAAATACATATATAATGTATATGTGTGTGTGAGTAGATGAGAGACGCCATTAACTAACCATTAGCAATAGGGAGAGAAGCAAGGGCTGATCTTGAGGCAAGATCATTCATCTTTAAGATGTCCATTGGCTTTGGTAAATCCTCTTTCTGTTTGTGAATATATATATTCAGCACAACACAGGTAGAGAGATTGGATCTGATCACTTTAGATCTACGGTTAATTATTATTATTATTTTAATATATTTGTACTTTGGCTTTTGGGAATATGATTTAGCCAAATGCTCTTTCCTATTTTTATTTTCATTGTGCATCAATATGAAACCTGTCGAGTAATGGCAAGAATAGGACAAAATACTTAGGTTTATTAACAACTGCTAGTTGTTTTATTTTCAATAGGGCACACCCCACGATGTTATCCCCAAAGTTTGGTCATATCGAATTTGACAACATCTAATTAATTAATGAGGAGAAAAAACACTAACCGACGTATATTATTACATCATAGTATTTATGTCTGGACCTCTTTCACTGATGATGATGATGATGATGATGATGATGATGATGATGATGATGATGATGATGATGATGATGATGATGATGATGATGATGATGATGATGATGATGATGTTGATGATGATGATGATGCAAGGCATCATATTCAAAATATACGATTACATTTGGAATTTTCTGATGGTTTTTTCAAGATCTCGATTTTCAAAATCTTAGGTAGAATTAGGAGTGTAAAACGGATTGATTCTGTTTGGTCCGATGTAATCTGTTCCGATTTTATAATTTTTAGTCCAATTCACTCCGGTCCATTTTTTGGCGAACCAAAATCATTTGATTCAACCTGTTTTATCTGAAATTACGAATCAAACGAGACGACTCGCAAGTCAAATAAATAACTAAAAAATAAAATTTAAATATGAAAAACTATTTAAAAATATTATAAATATAATAAAATTTTAAAAAAATTAAACGTTAAATATCTATCAAAAACGTAATTTTAATATAACATATTTAAATATTTAAAAAATATTAAAATTTTAAAAATATATTTTTTTTATTCGGAATTCAGTTCGTGGGTTCGCCGGACTGACTTGCCAAGAGCACGACTCGTGGCGAGTTGGTTCGTTCGACCTATTTTTTTCGGACTCAAAATTTTTTTAGTCCAGTTCGAAAAAATATAGATTATCCCCTGAATCAACTCGTGAGCCAAATCTATTTTACATCCCTAGATAGAATTGAACAAATATAATATAAAAGACCATAAAGAGTGACTTTGTTCATGTCATAAGTCCCAAAATTTATGTTGTGGTTCAATCAAGTTAAGCGAAAAAAAACACACGAGTGATCCAAATATTTTTTTCTATATAACCTAATAGATCCCACAATATTTCATTTTATTTTCTTCCATTCGATTTCGCTTCGTTATTATATTAATTTTTTTTAACAAACACATAAAAAATATTACATATGCTTTTCTTATATTTTCGTATTCAAAATTTATTCCAAAGATATATTCTAAGTCGATTGGAAAATTTAAATCTATATTTTTTTACAGTAATCCAATCATTTTCTAGTAAATTGATGGTATTTTAACTAGACAGTTTGTCTATTTTAGGGAGAATTTTCAAATAATTTTTTTTTGGTAATGATGATTATATTAAACTCAGAAATAATGTTCACAACTAGCCTTTGGATGTATACAAAAACAAAAGATAGTCCATGTGAAAGTGGTACAAAAAAGTTGGTCCATGGAACAACCAAAAATCGGTCTATAGTGAACAATAGTATCGTAGGATGGAATTACTGACATTTGTTGTTCGTCTCTTAGGGGCAATCAAGATGGTTCTTATCGTATGGTCCAGTGATAACATGTATTTTGGTGACATTTTGGTATAGGATGTCTAGTGCATTTTACTCGGTTTTGCATATTTATAGGCATTCTAGAGCACATTTGGTCTCGATATTGCTTGGTTGCTTTTTTTGGTGTCAAAACAGGTATTCATGCATAAAAGAGAGCAAAAGGAGTGGAAAACATGGACTACGGAACATCACAGACGAAACGGGAACATTTGGAGTTGTTCCGGGGAAAAACACGAAGCTTAAAAAGTCAAATATTGCAAGTCCAATAACTTCCACTCTACAAGTCCAAATTGCATGTTCTCTACCTCATTGGAAAGCTCTCTTCAATATCTACGCATAGACACCAAGATCGCACAAATCCGACATTGGAGCAGAAAGTTATGAGCAAATCTGCCAAGCATATTCGAGTTGATAAATCGACACAGACCGTGTTGCATTCGACACGGCC